TATGCTCTGCCATCCCTGGGACAGATGTGTCACTCAGCCACTACACAAGAAGCCAGCAGACAGAAAGAGGGGACTTAAGAGATAGAAGGGAATGGAAGCAGGTTTCTGCTTGGGGTGACACGCAACTCCCTTCTTTGACTACCTCACCCTTCCAGACATCATTATAAAGCAGATACAAGATTCTGGAACCTGATGGACAAGCAAAAAGAGGTATGGATGAAGATCCACACAGGTTGGAGGAGTCACCTAGGGCTAGTCAACCTGATCTCATATCATGACCACTTCTGTCACAAAAAAAAAAGGAATTGTTGTCATCAACACTTGTGATTCCATCTGAGAGGAACAGAGCCTGATAATGTCAACCAGACCCGACCTATAGGGGAGTCTGTTGCCTCCCTGGGGGCTGATCATTACCCATTATTGGTTTTTCACGTTGCCGCAACGAGGCAGCAAAGGGAAGACCAAAAGCAAGCAAGAGTGAATTCGGCACAGTGGAAAAATTGATTAAAGGCTCAAGGGCCCAGTAATGTTTTCTCTGTCCTTTCAGTAGCAGTGAATAATGTTCACTGAAAGGAGTAGGCAGACCTAGTTGATGCTAATGTGGCACTGAAGTTGATGGCACTGGCAAACTTTCGGTGTTTTTTTTTTTGTTTGTTTTCTTAATCATGGGATGAACAGCAGAGATGCTATTGCAGAGAGAAAATGAGGGAGTCCCCCGGTTTGCTCAGATTGGAGCAGAGCAGGCTGAGGGGAGGCCTGATGGTGGCTGCAGGAGAGGAGGACAGTGCTGAGCTCTGCTCTCTGGGAACAGTGACAGAGGCTGAGGGAACGGCATGGAGCTGTGTCAGGGGAGGTGGAACAGTCTTTGCAAAGAAAAGGGCTAGAAGGGCATGGTGCACAGAGCAGGAGCTGTGGCTTTGTCCTCTCAGCTGAGCAGAGCCCTCAGGAGCAGACACCAGACTAGAATGGCATGCTTTCTGTTTTCTTCAAGATGGTGAAAGTGTTCTGTATAGATTTTCTGGCAGTTTATTTCAGCAGTTAATTAGAAACCATGAGGTCATCTGACAGAGACCAGGCTCTGCCGTTAGGCAGGAACAAAAGGACGGGAATGGGGTGATTGGGTCTGGTCTCAGTGTGGCAGTAGCTCTTTGTTTTGCTGCTTCTTTCTGAGCAATTTATTGAAGAGATTTTAGCCTGGTGAGGTCAGAAAGTGCCGTGAGAAAACAAATCAGAGAATTTTTAAAACGTTGGGTTCAGTTTGGCTCCTTTTCACAGGGTATGGCATTCTATCAGAAAGCAATGTTTCTTAGTGCTGCGGCACTTTAGTGCCAGGAAAAATGTTTTTAGATAAGGAAGTACTGCAGTTTGAATGTGACACATCTGGGAATGCAACAGACAGTGGAGGTTGCCTACAGTTGTAGTGCTGTTTTCCGGATGAAAATACAGGGCAACATTCATCCACAGATAACCACAGTGGGAAGGTCAATAATGTTCAATGATAGCACTGAGTGAAAAGCCCACTGAACAGCCTTTCATAAGTAACTGTTGACTTTTTCTTGGTGTCTTGGAGTTAATTGCAGCTTAAGAAAATACTGACATCTCTAGATGAACAACAAACCTTGTTTGTTTGAGCTGCACGAGCACATCTACGGTATGAGCTGTAGATGACAGGACAATGTTTGTGATCTGAGAGCCTTCTTTTTGAATTCCAGTTGGAGCTCAGCTGTTCCCCTCCTGTTCTTAGCCAGACCCTTACCGTTTCCCATTACCTTTCAATAATTGTGCTTCTAAGGATGCTTCCACATTTTACATTAACCAGAAAAGAAGGAATGCAGGGGCAGTTCAAGAGCCCACTTTATTGGGATTACAACAGTATTACCTGTATTACAGCAGTACTTGTGTTACAGACCTAGTGAATGTTGTCCTTCTCCCTGATACAGGCTGAGGCAGCAAGGAAAGGAGCAATGTAGCCTCCACGGAAGTTCAGACAAGCTGTTGATGTTTGTGTTGATGAAAGGGCTGAAGCTGGAAACACTGAACTCATTCAGGTTTATTTCTCTTCTGGAAACTCTGACCATGTAGATTTTGAGGCTTTTTGCTAGAGGTGGCTTTTTTGGTTTGTTACTGTAGTTGTTTTCAGTTAATTGTTCTCCAGTTTGGGATCATGATTAACAACCCTTGGAAACTATTGAATACCTTCAGTCTTTTCTCTCCACTCAGCTCAGTTCTGTCATTTCATCACAAGTCTGTTGCTTGAGCTCTAGACAGGATGCCACATTTATCAGAGAGTAAAATCAATCTTGTTATCACCCTGACAATCTGCAGTACATAAAAAAATGCACAGGGTTAATGCCAGATGTCCAGAATATGAACAGGTATAATAAATGTGTGCTGGCACACAAAACCACTTCCCTGGAGTGTGCAATTGTATTGTAACCTAAAACTTGCCTTAGGTGTTTTCCATACATTGAAATCTCCACAACCACTTCTGAAAAGAAGCTATTAATAAAGGGAATGTCAATCTGTGGGACATGGTATCCAGGGAAGAGTCTGCAGTACAAAACCTCTCTAACAGAGGGTAAGGTTCTTCATCCCAGAATAATAATTTAAAAAACGTTATTACATTTCTGGTCATCTTTATCTCCAAAATAGTCACGCTGGCAGAAGGACCCAATGAGCACTATCATGAAAACCAACATTAGCCTTTTCCTCCTAACGATAACAGCAGTGATTTGGTGGTGACAGCATACGTTGTTGCAGGTTTTCCACAACTGTCATCCAAAGCTGGTCAGAGGTCTGAATAATAACAGAGAAAAAAGTGCCTTTAATGTGCAGTTTTAAATTGGTGAATTGAACCTTTTTTTCTTTCTTTTTTCAGTTTCCTTTGCTTGGAGATGATAAGCCAACACAGTGACAGAATTCACCTGCTATACCCCATAAGCATTTTCCCCCTTTTCCTTCCCGTTCCCTTTCTCTCCCCTCCATGACCATTTTACACTTCATGGCAATCATACACGTCCTTTAGAATACACTCTTACCATAGTGAACTGAAACCATCGGGATGTGGGTGCCTCAGCCCCTGCTCTTGCTCCATGGAGAAGAGTGTTATTGAAATGGCTATCAATGTTCCAGGTGTACACTGCAGTGCACAGCTAGGCTGCAGCAGACTCACATTTGTTTGCTTTAGATTTTACAGGAGTTTTATTCATAGAAAATGCTCTGAGGTCTTCAGGTCCACCCATCCCTTATTCATATCAAGTGTTACCATATTGTTTCCTGTTTCCTTCTTTCTGTATATGATTGTCTTTCAAACCTGAGCTTGTAATTAGCCAGATAAACTTTGCACTCCAGCCTACATGAAACACCACAACCAGGTCACAAAAATATCAACCTGTTTTTTTTACACCTTTGTCTTCATGGCTCTTTCCTGAGATGTCCTTTATATGTGCGTGTTGCAATATATAGATAAAGGTACAGACATAGAAATATGGATATGTAAACAGCTGGATGGATATTTTGGTGCTAACGGTGCCTTTGTGAACAATAAAAATGGAAATTTCCTCCACAACACTGAAAAAACAGCAGCCCGACAGCAGCAGATAGGGAAGGATGAATTAAAACTCCTCTGGGCAATAGCTTTTATTAGACATATCAGCCTAGCCACTTTTAACTTTAAAAAGCCAAGATTTTATGGAATTCTGCATGGGGAAGGTCTATAAACAAAGGCCATACTATTAAATCACCTCACTGGGTTGTGAGTCCTTATAACATAACTTCTAAAGAATGACACTATGTGCTTATTAAGCTTGCTAAGTGTTTATTGAACCTAGTAAGAGTCCTGCTGTTTTTCAAGCCCTGTAATAGATAAAAAGTATATATATTGTCCAAGAAACACTAACAACACTCAGCCTACTCAAGTCAATTACTCTAAGAAGCAGAGCAGCCCTCTGCAAGGCCAAGCTTTGTTAGTAATACCATGGAAATGTAAATTCTTTTGATCCAGAAGATTAATTGCAACCACGCATTCCGTAATTTGCAGTTTCACTGCTGCTTTCGCTTTTCTTCTCATGTCAAACTCTTTTTTTTTTTTTTTTAAACAAAAAAATACTAAGATAAACTAGATATAAATGCCTTTGAAACAGACTTAGGTAAATATTTTGCCTCATGTTTCAACTACAGAACTTCTATTGTGAAAGCAGATCGCTGCATTTAAATCAGAGACGAGAGCACATGTGAAAGAACTAAACACAGGGAAATATTTAATCAAATTTTATTGTTAGCTGTTGAGCTCAGCGTTCACCTGAAGATTTATTTTAATAACAAAAGTGGTCAAATCATACTGATTTCCTTGAGATAAAAAGCACTTAGATGAACTTAATGTATGAGTTTCTAGTGCTTTAAGAAACTGGTTATGCTACAACGTAGCTTAACAGGAGCTTTAACACTTAGAAATGATTAAGAAATGATAAACTCAGAGCAGTGTTTCTGGCATGTCATCTTAAGTCATCCTGAAGTGTAGTACAAACAGTTCAGTTACTTCACAGTCTTCTGCATCAATTATTTATATACCATACAACCATATTTCTGTATTATTTTGTATTAGTTCTATACAACCATAGATGTCACAAATCTCACGCCCAGGGATCACCACTAAAGTTCTGGCAGGCTCCATCAGCATGAAGGACAAAGAGCTGCTGTGCAGATTAGCAGCACACGGGCAATCTCTCACAGTGCCAGGAAGAGCTTCTGATGCACAGTGAGTGATGCAAAAGAATGTATGCAGCTCTCCCTCTTTGTTTCCCTACTTTAAACTGAGGACGTGATCCAGGAACCTGAACGCAGGAGACTCTTGAACATACACACACACTGAAACAAGGAATCAAGAAATGATTGAAATGCGAACCTAGAATTGCAGAATGGGGAATGTGCTTCTTTTGTGTCAAATGCAACACTGAAATGCAACTGTCATTGAAAATAACAGCCCAGAATTTCTAAAGAAATCAGTGGAAAAAATAATTTATTGCAATTTCTCACATTACCATGAAACATTTATACATATATATTCTGTGCTGATAAAGTATACTAGGTACAGACAACTTTTATACATAAAGTAATTGCACTATTCTAATTCATAATGCAAATATTCAGAAAATGCCAGACACAAGAATGGATATTATTCACACAAAAATGCACTGTATGTTAAAACTGTGAAGCATCTGCAATCCCATCTAATTTTACTATGTCTGCTTACAAGTTATATATCTCTTAGTTATGCCATGAAGCCAAGAATACAATCAGGTTCTCCCAAGGTATAAAATAAAATCATTTTCTGATTCCAGAGACCAAAACAAAAGGCAACTACGACAACCATGTCCTGGCAGTACGCCTGTCAATTTTGAAGGCTCTATCAGAACAGAATTAGAGCACAAGTGATGGCCTACAACAGTCCAGCAATCTATTATTAACATGACAACTTCATTTAGTTAATATAAATCAATGAAAAATATATTGAAAATGAAAAGCATTTCAGTAAATATACATTGGCACAAGGCTCAGTTGGACAAACAACTGCCCCTTTTCAATACAGAAGATGTTTTACATAGTGTCTACAAAGCCAAAATGCTGGATGATGTCAAAAGGTACCATCTTTCTACACAGGGATCAGCAGTGCATCAAGTGTTATTCGCAATATGAACAGGAAGCATGGTCGTAGCAGAAGTAAATCTGATAAACAAGTTTTAGGCAGTAGCTTCCACAATGATGCTCTATGTACTACTTTTTACAAATAGTTCCTTAGGTTCTTTGTTCTGCCAAAAAATTGAAATGCCTCCTGTCTTTCCAGAAAAGTCATTGATTTATGCAACCACTGTACCGCAGAGATGAAGATGTGAAGCATCAGACTGAGTTGTTAGTTGTGGCATGCATATTATACAGTTTGATTCAGTAGTAACTGGTGATAGGAAGGGCCACAGGATTGACATGCAAAAATGCATATTTAAAAAAAAAAAAAAAGAGCCTGAAATACATGCTCATAGCAGAGAGAGAGTACCAAACACTAAGGAGAAAATAGCAAGCATGCCTGGAAGCAAATGGTGAGTACGACTTCAGGACAAGAGCAACAGACAATGGTACTGCACATAACAATGGGAGACACGAAGTAAAGTAACATTCATAATTCATCCTTACTGCCTGGCTCCCTACTTGGAGACAGTATTGCACCCTGTTCAGGATCCTTTTCCTCTTCCCTCAGCTCAGAAAGTATCTTGCTTTGTTTCCTTGAATGCATGCAAGTAGAATTTGAAAAATAAGGGATTTTCTTTGAAGCAGCAACATAGTGGATCAATGCAGTGACAAAATATGTTTGACAACTTGCAACCAGTATTAGTAAATAACAGAACAGAGCATAGGTAACACGCACATTTCTTTTGCATGTGTTGTACGTAGGAATGTAACAACTCCTACATTCCCTGATGGAACTACTGGAGATATTTTGACTTGCTCCCATTAGTAATCTGGGGACATGGGAGAAGAGAAACATATTTGGAAGTGGGGACAGATGGAAACCACAGTCAGGCATCTGAGGTTCTCTGCATGCTTTAGGATTTACAGCAAATCTGTTCCTCCTGAGAGAAGTTGCAGGTGAACCTCTGTTCATGCAAGCAAGCAGACAAGTCAAGGTTGCTTTGGTTCTACGTATATTTCTGATGCAGTTCTGAATATTGCTGGAATGGTATTATGGAATAGAATTCTTTAGAGGGAAGAATAGAGATGCCAAGTTAGGAACAAAGTCTGAAGTATGCTGAGTTGCTCCAACCTGATGACATTCTACATGCCCAGTGAAGACAGCGTATTGTAAGCACTGGTTTTATATCACTGTGCCAGCTGTAAGCATTTTGTTCACTTCTCCTATCATATATTGATCACTGGGCTTCAGGATCTGTTAATGCTAACAGATATGCAAATGATGAGATTGCCATTCTGTTAAGTGTAACAGAAAAAGGGAGTGTACCACTAATACAAATCAGTTCTAGATTTAAACACACTGGAGATAGAAAACTTCACAACTGAAGGACAGTCAGAGAAAATATCTTCAAACAGATTTAAGAAATATTTTCAGGGAGTGACCACTCAAGACATTTATTTACCCCATGGATTCTTAACAGATGTTAACGTGCCATATTAATTGTTACTAATGGCTCCCACTGAAATTAATCACCCTGCAAATGATACTAATTGTAAGAATGCACGTGCGTTTGAAAGGTCAGATAGAGTAAGTATCTGAAAAGAAAACCAAAACTGTACCTTAGCAAAGTAATTACAATAAGGTAATCAAAGATAAAAAGGTGTTTATTTGATTTCTGCTTTTGGATTACCACTGTTATATGCAGCCTATGAAGTGTCAGAAATAACAACAGTTCAGCATATCTTAAAGGAGGAAGCCTTAGTGCATTTTTCTGTTTGTGAACAGATGAAATGGTGCAGGGAGTGGAAAAGAATGAAAAGACCATTACAAGATTATCTTCTTTCACTTATCAAAATCACCTCTGAAACAACTGATTATCATTGTCATACACTTCATGAAGTTATCCTTCTAGTTTCCTATTCTCCAAAACTTAGTACAACAAAAAAAGAGATACCTGTGATGGGAGAAGTCCTTATGTGTTTGAGAAATATATGCATGTCTGAATTTAAGAATATACAAGAAAAGCCTAACACAAACTAAGAGAGACTTTTCAAGTGTGCCTAAACTGTGATTTATAACTGTGTATTATGTGCTCCCAAAAACCAGACTGACAATATTTTATTTTTCTATCATGTTTACCATTGTCCCTATGTTTCTCTCTACAAAGCTGAATTGTTAGACAATAGTAACAGCAGGTACCTGTCAGGGCCATTGTCATGATTGACAAAACCGGCTGTTTTACAAGCTCTCTAAAAAGAAGTTGCAATATTTAAAATTATAAACTTTTAGAACCCTAAACACATGTGAAGCTGAACTAAGGAAAATATGCACCTGACTCAATACTCTTCTGAAGCTTTACATTTAACATTACAATATTCCCTGATACAAACGATAGGACGTAATTTATAATGCAGAAAGAATAAGTCTAAGGTGCTCAGTTATGCATATTTCACATGAAAGTATGGATTTGAAAGAACAGTAGCCATGTGAAGTTACACTTAACCTTGATATAAAACAAAATCATACAAGTATGATCAAAAGTGGCACCCAGAATGTTAGCACAACTAATACATACTAAAATACAGACTTCAGTGGGGTTAAAATATAGGCTGTTCCCTGAAGTTTAATAGTGAGAGTTACTACTGAGGGTTACCATTAAACAGCCAATATTCATTCATACACTTGGCTACCAGTTGCATTAAATCTTTTCTAAAGGGCCATAATGGTTTAACAGTCTAAACTTCATTTTCAGAGGCACACAAGAATTCAGAAGTGCAATCAAGTCCCTGTGACCTGTACGTTCAGTGAAGGAACTGATGACTTACATTATTCCAATCAGTATTTCTTAGATTAAATACATTAGCTTAAAACTTTTTGTACTTTTACTTTTGGGCAGAATGCAGGCTGTGCATATCACTTTCACACTTTTTTTCTCCCTGTTTGCAATAGGTGGAATGTACACCTGCTAGGCTGGCACAAAGCAACGTGATTAAAGGTAAAACTTTGTAGTTTATTTCTGAGTCTAAATCTCATTGGTTTCTAATAGGATTTTGGTTAGTACATGTGCAAACTTCTGAAATTATCACATAAGCTCAAAGACAACTTTAGTGCTTGAAGAGCTTCACCCTATTCACAACAAGATTTAGTTTATATGTCAATCAGAAGATGTATTTTTATTCTGTGAATTTCTGAATTAAGACCTTCATCACACAACAATTTGTGAGCAAGAAGATCCATCTGAGGTTAACAGAACAAACCACACATCAGGTTCAAACCTGCCTGTGTGCATTTGTTGGACTGCTGCCTAAATATCTGAAGGCACATTTATTTACTCACAGAAATGGTAAATTTCAAAGTGCTGATAACCAGACATCGGTTAAACATTATATTACGGGCATTATATTGCAAAGTCTAGCACAGTGGAGAAATCTGTACATAAAGAGATATTTATATTTAAACACTGGCATTCCCTCAAGGACCTCTTGAAATATGAAAGTATTCCTTCAGGGTCTATACAAACTCCACAGACAAATAGTCAAGGACTTCAATGTGCTGTCAAGATAGTAAATGTTAATAAAAGTGTTGTACAAAACTGTTCATTTCTTCCAGGGAACATTTAGTTTGCAAATGGATCTCAGTGGCTTAAATGTATCATATTTATAACTTGTTTAAAAGAAAAATACACTTTGGTTAGTCATACCTCTGTCTCTGTACTCTTTCGGGACAAAAACCAAACCTGCATTGGTTCTTTTTTACCCTTCATAGAAACTGGACCCCTGTATTCCAGGTGGAACTGAGGATCTGAATTTTCTGGTGTCATAAGACACCTGAGAATGGAAAGAGAAAAGATGTAATTGTATGCATGCAAACAATACACAATTTAAAATATTAAGCACAAATGTGAGCAAATCAATAGAAGCATCGAGTCTATCTCTAGATCGTTATTATATTTGCATACCAACAATCATGCATCATAATACAGTCTGCCATACAGTTTCATCAGAGCTCATGCACTTCAGAAGTGTGCTAACAATGCCCCATCACTATCAATTCCAAAGGCACATCGATGTTACACGGAAAAAGTGATTTCTTTTTAAGTGTCAACACCAGTAAGAATAGTGAATCGCTTACCTGTACGTATACTCAGAGACATTGATCTTTCCCTTTTCTCCAGTAGTTTCTGTCCTGCTTGTTAAATTGACAGTATTTCCAAACAGGCAGTAACGTGGCATCCTTTGGCCTATGACACCTGTGACTACCTCACCAGTATGGATTCCTATCGTTATCTTTAGAGAGGAAAAAAAAAAAGGCTTCAGTATTCAAAATAAATGTAGCTTATCTCATGTTTCCAACTAAACACAGGTATTATGCAGTTTCTGTCTACGAGTTTTATTTCCAGTGCATTACTCTGCCTTCTTCAAAGCTCTGCATTTTGTATCACCTTTTTTTTTTGGTTTTTTTTTTTTTTTTTTTTTTTTTTAATTATTGTATTGCCATGACTCTGCCTCCCACATGAAAGAACAAACCTCATCTTTTTCCAACATGCACCACGCCATGCTGCTGTTATATGCTGTAAAGTAAAAGAAAAGTGGAGAGAGAGGAATACCCTGTAGGTCTCAGTTTGATGAATGCTCAGAAGCTGCAGAAATCGATGGGTTAGACCAAGAAAAGACTACTGCTCAGAAGAAAGGCCCTGTATGAAACCTCCTCACTTCCTTGCTCGCTGACAAGGTGAAACAGACAGACCTCAGTTAGGTCTTAGAGCAATAGATTGCAGCTAAATAACAATACGTATCGCAACCAGTTATTTTGTCCTCAGAGCTTTTTGATGAAGACAAGTCAATGGAGGCTCACCAACTCAGTATTAATGCAACAGCATATTTAAAAAGCCCATAACAACAGAACTTCCACTAACATACATTGTTCTTGGAATCACTGCCAAAGCTACCTATGGAAATGCACTTTCCTATTTAATGCAATATTTTCCCATGCTGATGAGATCACAAGCATGACTGAAAATGCCAATGAGGGAATACTACTGTTGTATTCATTGAGATGGAAAAGACTCAACTAATTGTACTTGATGCAAAATGCAAATTTGTTGAATAGATTGGAAAGATCAGAAAACAAACATACATGATGAGGATCTAATTATTTAAATAGTTAAGCACAGCAACTGCATTTGAGGATCTGGGGAACTGCCAATACCACATCTACATGTGACTCTTCATATTATTTATAGAGATCTATCTCAAAATAATTAATTTACATGGAAAGGGATTTTAGTATTATCATATTTCAAAGCATTATAATCATATAAAAGAATGGGCTCTTCATTCAAGCCCACACATTTACTAACCTGTACAGGCTCCCCATCAACTTGAACTTGGCCTGCTATTTCCATCATGTCCAATGCTAGGTGGCAGATAGATCGTGCATGATGAATGCAAGGCTCTGGTAGACCACTCACAGTCATATACTTGTCCCCAACTGTTTCCACCTGGCAAGGTACATATTGTTCCATTTATTATCATGGACTTCAGAGTACAGTAAAAAGACGTAGCACTCCCTTCGAAGACTGTCCTTACAAGTGTTTTCCCTATACTTACATTCAAAAAAATCTCAATTCCAAAAACATCTTGTATTGATAAGAATTCATTATATTTCAACAACAAAACAAAGACAGTGATTAGGTGAACTTCAGTCTCTTTTTTGGAGTATTCCAGAATTTGTATAACCATGTTTATTCTCATTCACCCTTGATTTGTCTGGTGCAGGACATAAATTTAATTTAGAGTAAAAACTAGCAATGGATTTTACACATATAAAGACACAAGCATATACATATGCATGCTCAAAAAGTAATGCCTCGTATTTATTTCCATGGAAACTATAACAAAGAGCACAATAACACTATTTGATAAGAGCAAATTCTCAGCTACAAAACACTATTTTTCAACACAGGCACCACCATGAGCTATGCACTTTCTCCAGCAGTGAACAAGAGCCTCCATGTCACAATCATAAAACTTCCTCAGCAGAGGTGACCTTTGTCGTTGTCACCACTGCTGAAAAGCACCACCCACCAACCCACTGTGCTCACATCCATTGTTTGGTCTCCATCAACGTTCAGCAAGTGTTAATGAATGTCAATGGGTGCCATTTTTTCCACATGGAGGAATTCAATGCCACATCTTTGCTTCAAACACACTTCCATGTCAGACATCATTTTGCAGATTGCCCCTCTGCTGCCCTCTGTCACATGGCAGTAACAAGTAATTGGCAGAAAGGTTCAACATCTACTGCCACACCATCAACATCCATCTCTGATGCCATGGGCCAACTATTTATTATAAATAGAAGGCATTCCTTTTGAAGCAGCCCTTGTATATACGGGCTACATATCTATCCACTTATCTATCTCCTAACATATCTGCAACTAAACCTCAGTACTATTGAAGGAATAAAACTGAATAACAAATTATAGCTTACAGCTAGGAGGCCCAGGTATATGACTTAAAGCAAACTGCTTACATAAATTTTTACATCTTCTAAACGTGGAAGCAAATTAGCGTATCCAACTAACAGGTGACTATGCACAAACACTGCAAAAAACTATTGACTCACAGGGCAGAGAGAAAAACAACATACTCCTCTTTACATTCCAAAGGATGGAAAAGAGCAACATGAGAGTAGATTATTGAAAAATCACAGGCTAAATTACTTGAAAATCTACTGCTTACCTTGTAAACAAATGGATTCCTTCGTGAATCAGTTAGAATATCAAATCTCGTGTAAAGATCATTTAAAAGATTAACAATCTTCATAGCTCCCTCTCCAGAGGCATGCTTACTACAGAAGGCATTGAATCCAACAATGCCACTAAAGAGAATGGTGACATTGTCGTATCGCTTAGCTGGAACAGGACGCTTGTGTCTCAGCTCATTTGCCACCGACGGTGGTAGAACGGAGTACAGTAATCTAAATTAGTCAGCAAGAAAGGCACAGGCAAAACAGAAAGAATTTTGAGCAAGGTCTCTACATAACATAGACACATTACTAATTCTTCTGACAAGATTTGTTAATAGTGTCTTGGATCATTTTTGCTTACTGCTTGAGCGTTTCTGCCACATCAACTGGATGGCAGGTAAGAAAGTTTGCAAAACTATTTTAGGTTAATTAGCAAAGTAAAAAGAATTGCCAGTTCACTTCTCCTCTAGTGTACTTATAAAGGAAGGAGTCATCAAAACAGCCATTTTCATGTAGGCGACAGCCTACACTGCAGATGACACATGACTATCTAAATTAAGAACAAAACCCTTTAAGGAACTGAAGTGAAATGTTTTTTCTTGACTTCAAAATTATTGGCCTTGAATATTTTTTACGTTCTCCCAAGATTCTTTTATTTTATAAAGAAGGTACCTATAAATAATATATTGCTGTGACTGTTTCAGCTCAAAAATCAGGATTTGTATCTTACGTGTCTGTCTTTTTCTTTTCATCTTCGAGTGCACGTAGCGTGTGCTGCAGTCTGTCAGTGAGGATCTCAAGCTCTTGAGTCAGTTTATATTCCTCTCTGAACTGCTCTCCCAAAAGAACCAGATCACGGGTAGCATCATGCAATGGAATATCACTCAGATATAACCCTCTTCTGGTTAAATCATCCAAGTTCATAACACTACAATGCGAAGAGATAGACAGTTGTGAGTAGATAGACAGGAGTATAATTAAGCTTGCCAAAGGAGCACTTAAACCTCAGATGAACAGCAGAGAATATGAAATAGGAGAAAAAAAGTGTGCTTCTAAAAATCTGATGAGCTATATAAAATATTCCTTCCACAAAATCCTTGGAGTTCACTTGTGTTAAAACACAGCTCTTGATTTTACCTTTAAATATAGAATTCGCATGAGTTCCATGAACATACGCACATTCTTCAGTGCACAAATAAAAGTGAGATTATGTTAAGGTAGCATCTTTCTGTCTTCAGCCACTCTGTACATCACTTTTATACACAAGGTGAACGTTTTATACACGTGGTGAACGTTGGGGGTTGGACTCGATGATCTCCAGAGGTCCCTTCCAACCCCCACAATTCTGTGATTCCTACAATTCTGTGAAGTCTGGTGTATTGGCTGAATGAGCATTTAGCTAAAGCCCTCCATTCAATCCCTAATTCCAAACACTCTCTTCATAATCACTGCTGCTCTATTACACTAAAATTACTGAAAAAAAATACATGAATCCACATAGGAAACCGAATCAGTGACATCTCTCAGCATTCTCAGAATAAGAAACAAACATCAAGACTTGCCAAACGTCGCTGAATAGAGGAATTCTCACTCATCCAAAATAAGCCAGAGCATCCCAGTGCTTATACTGAATTATTTCATAATCATCCAAGTTCCAATGTTCAAATGCTCCTCCCTCTTTTCATATAAACACAACAAAATCTATTAAATCCATACCCAAGCCAACTAATCTCAGTAACATTACTCTCATAGATATTCATAAAATCAGTAACTGTAAAATGAAAAGCAGCATTACACAACTCTTATTGTTTAAAGTACCTTGGTGAACAAAGAAAGAGAATGCTGTCTGCTTCAGGCAAGTAGATCATTTGCCCTTTCAGGCGTAAGCAACTGATTTCTGTGCCAGTCAACTCATCTTCACACTCCAACTTCTCTACATCCAACAGCCCCTCCTGGTGAAAAAAAAAATAAAAAAATCACGATTACTTTATCATTGCACTGGTTTATGTGTTACTTCACAACATCTGTTTAAGTGCCTTCACTATGAAGGTCATCATGATGTCTAAAATAGCTACACCTTATCTTAAAATCCAATTATCCCTTGAAAACAAAACACTGTCCTCACTTCTACACTGATATTCTGCCTCAGAGATTCAAATCATGGCATCTTTCCTTAATTTCAAGTTCTTCTTCTCTTCACAATCGTTTGACAAAAAGATTGTCTACTCTATGAACTTCATAGAATGTCTAAGAAGTATTGCTGGCTTCTCTCAGGAAGTTCTTTAGCATAGTAGGTGCAATTCTACATTCTACATTCATTGTTTCATCTTGCCTGCCTCCCCACTCCTGTTCCATGTGAATGTATGGGCCCAAATGGTAACACATTTCGTATTTGCCTCCTTTGTCATAATTAAATAAAACTAAGTGCAACAGCCCTTCCTTTCCTTCAGTAAATTGTTATGTATGAGTTTGGCCTCTTGCCAGGAAAGCCTCAGATGAGAAGTATATGTATTTCACCACTCCTGTTTAGCAGTTAAGTCAATTTAACACACTGAATTCAGATCTGTGATTTTTTTTTCTTGGCTCAAGACTCATAAGGACCCAGGCTTACTACTATGTTCTCTGAAGACTTCTGCTTTTTCCATACTGCTTTTTTCTCCCATGCCTGCTTACTTATAGAAATGCCAAGTGAATATTTTCGAGTTACCTTGGTCCTCAGTACAAAGACTGTATTGATATGTGAGAGGATCCCATGGAAACTAATATCAATATGAGGCCGGACCAAGGAGAACACTGACAAAAGACTGCAGTTTCCTGGTTGCAGCTGAAATTTAAAGAAAAAAAACACAAAAATTATGTTACAATAAAAGAATACATTGAATAATTATATTCAACTTGCTTAAATTACAGTACTGAATGGAAGAGAATATACACTTGATGCATTTCTCCATTAGAACACAAGGTTTTCAAATTAAGGATTTTACAACAAAAGTATCATTGGCTTCAAAATGCAATTCTAGCCTGCAAGATGACTTTGTAAAATTGTGTTAGATTGTTTCATGTTAATTATCTGTCAAACTGTTCCCTAACTATAAAAAAAAAAGTAAGAAAGCTTTGCAGTCAAAAAAAGCTCTCCTCATTAGTACCATCCCTCAAACATGCTTTTCAACGATAAGCCATTTTCTCCAAGGTGTTGTCTGGTTGTAACGATCCTCATAGCCATCCTCAGTAGGCTAAACAGTTACAGCTGTTCAGTGAGTGACCTTGAGAAGAATTTACAAAGCTCTTCTTTCAAATTTTTCTGCCAAATCCAGAAGGAAATCACACACACACACAAAGGCAGGAAAAGTGTTCTCCGTTCAAGCGTATTCCTTGGTCTGTTACTGCCCATTACAGACATGATTTTTAAGGAACAGAGCTACTGTAGGTTAAGGGCTACTTTTCAAAGTCCTTTTTCAAACAACAGCAGCACAACACAGTAGATATTATACATGGGGATGTTCTTTAAACAGAAAATCCTGTTTTATCAATCTTTGGGGGGAAAAAAATGAACAAAAACAACCCAACAAAAAACCACCTGCACGATCTAGTATAAGAACTCTCCATAACTATTAACGTGTAAGAATCATCTGACCTGTGGAAGGACTCTGTATATTGCATTGCCACACTGTGTGACCACCAGATCTCTGTCAAATATTATATGGAAAGGAAAAGCCTTGCAGAAAGTATATGGACTGATGCGAGACTCTTGGGTACCATTTTCTTCAAATCTGTCAAGGTCCTCATAGTAGTCCTCTTCTTTAGATTCTTTCTCTTCAATTAAAAATTGAATGTGGTCACATTCCTCATTCCGCTGTTGAATAACCTAGGAAAAATAAAAAAATAAAGAAGGAAAAGATGAAAGACTAAAAACTTTGCTATTCAATATTAACCAGAATGTTACTATGAAGAAAAAGCTATATTTAGACCAGAAAAATCTTAGAACAGCATTTGTACCTTCAAAAATTCTGTATTCTAATAAATATGTCTGTTTTAGAAATTCTTTATAATTCCAGGGGAAGGATTATCCCCTAGCTGAGCTGCAGTTGCTCTTTGCATGAACAGTATATCCCTGAAATCTATGTTGCCTGAGTGAAATGCACATCCTGAAATCAGGGATGCAGGCTCAGGTTATGCTTGCTTTCATTGGTATGTGTCACACAACAGGATTCTTCCTCTCCTTGAATGGACCTGTTGCAAATCTTGAATTTCACAAGGCACTTGAATCCTTATTTTAATGAAAGCTGTTTGCAAGGCCTGCAACATAACAGCAAACAGTGCTTGACCAGAGGGTGGGCATGTCATAACCAGCCAGAAGAGCCGCAGAGGGAGCAGAGCTCTGCAATACACAGCCCTTGCCCAAGCAAGCAGTGCTGACTACAAGATCATGCTCAAAAAATAAAACTAGAAGCAATTACAGTCTTCTCCGAGTCACATTCTGTATTAAATTCCAGCAAAATTTACATCAGCAAAATCATAAATAAATGTCTTGAATACAGCACTTTGCTTCAGTAAATTTGCTTAGTCAAAAACTAAAAAGGATTATTTTGTTTCCAGGGAGTCGTATGCTGTAGTATAATTAAAGCTAATAATTAACAGAATAGCACAATTTACCTTGAGAGGCCAAACTCACCTCTTCTCAAGTCTAATTAGGTTTAGTGACTGGAACAGAACAATTCTATTTGTACAGTACTGTTAAACAGCAACTTTTTGGAACACGTTGCACTTTATTGTACTTCCATCTAAAGTCTGATCCTAAACCTATGAAAGCAATTAAAAAAAGAAAAAAAGGTCTTCTTAAAATCCCTAATGCATCCTAAGTCTGCCTTTTACACATTATCTTGTCACAGAGAACAACAGTTAAAATAAAAAAAAAAAAAAAGTAGATATGCACAAACACTGATGTTTAGACTTTTTAAACACTTCTCCTCTACAGCCATGTTAGCTGGTGTGCTGGGGAGTGGTGATACTTCATTTGTTCCTATTCACAAGCACAAAACAATATTTTATTGCTAAATGGTGTTTAATTTAAGAAGCCGGTGTTCCTTCATCCTCTATTCGAATATAAAGGAAAGACAGGCTCTCCTGGAGGGCAATTCAGAGTAGGAAGCTAATTTAAGTGCTCTATGTAATGTGATGCACTAATTTTTCTATTGAGCATGTAACTTAGAGAAAGATCAGCCTATCATTTACTAACCAATGCAGGTACCTGAAGCTGGATGTAAGAACAAGTTCAAATGTTAATGATGATAATGCTTACTTTATCTTAAAAACTCTGTTGGTAATCCACGTGGCAGTGTGTAGCAAAGATAAATGGGAAATTATCAGTTAACAAGGGGTAAGCCACAGAAAGAGGATACAGTGGTCATTTGAAGAAAATAAATCGCATGGGTTTATCTAGTAAAGCAGAACATAGTAGATGGCATCCTAGGTTTCTTCTGAATGCACAGCTTAAAGGTCTTCCACATCCTCCTCTTCATTTAAATCATTATCCCTGTAATTCAGAGAGTCTGTGGCCATACTGAGGATTGATAAAATGCAGGTAGCATCTTAGTTAGTTCTCATTTTCCCCTCACTCGTTAGCATACTTACCGGTTTTATTTCATTATTACTACTGTTATGGCCATGGGATAGCTGAGATTATACACAGTAATTTTTCAAATTCTGTAGAACTAGTGCTAAAACTGATCTATTTTTACAGAAGATTTCTAGTCTTGAATCTTATTTCACAGTGTTGCTCTTGCCAGCAAAAAAATGCGTAATTTGGATAAAAAAGCTTCACCATCCAGCAATGCAGTCATGTAAGTTTCAAAAAATCCAATATTTTTCAGGAAATATTTATATTGACAGTACGTGACCTTTCAGAGAAATTAATATCATCACCTAATGACCATATTAGTCAGAGGCTGCAGATGGGGCCTCACAAGAGCCGAGCAGAGGGGGACGATCACCTCCCTCTCCTGCTGGCCGCCCCTTTTCCATGCAGCCCACAACACAGCTGGCCTTCCGGGCTGCAGGCGCACACTGCTGCCTCATGGCCAGCTTCTCGTCCACCAGGACCCCAAGTCCTTCTGTGCAGGGCTGCTCTCAAGGAGATCTTCCCCCAGTCTGTATCAATACCTGGGATTGCCCCGACCCAATGCAGCACCCTGCACTTGGCCTCGTTGAACCTCATTAGGTTCACATGGCCACTTCTCCATCCTGCCCAGGTCCCTCTGGATGCTTCCCTTCCCTCCAATGCATCGACTGCACCGCTCAGCTTGGGGCCATCTGCAAACTTGCTGAGGCTGCACTCGATGCCATCATCTGTCATTGATGAAGATGCTGAAGAGCACCGGTCCCAAGACCGACCCCGAGGGACACCGCTTGTGACCGGCCTGCACCTGACACAGAACCATTGATCACAGCCCTGTGGCTGCATCCAGTCAGCCAATTCCTAATCCATCAAGCAGTCCGTCCTTCAAATCCACACCTCTCCAGAGGTGAGAGAGAAGGATGTGCTGAGGGACCATGTCAAAGGCTTTGCAGAAGTCCAGACAGATGACATCCATTGCCTTCCCCTGTCCACTGATGCTGCCACTCCATCACAGAAGGCCACCAGATTGGTCAGGCACGATCTGCCCTCAGTGAAGCCATGCTGGCTGTCCCAGAGCTGACACACTACAGGCCAACCACATGGAAACATGACAGATTCACAGTACAGCCACTGTGCCGGCTGAACATTATTAGTAATACTGATATGCTATGGACGGGGAAGGCTTATTGAGGTTTTGTTCTGGCTCTCATTGCACAGGCTCTTATTAAGGGAAGCTACAATTTTATCCCTCTACAGGCTAAGTAAGCTACTGATTCAGCCTTAAATAACACCCAATTTCATGCCTTTGTTGCTCATATCATTTATGCACTAGCTTATCTTTCTATCTTGTTATTTCATTAACCTCAAACAACTTAGACTTCTTCTCTGAGGCATTTGAGATACAGATAAAATTCAATCTTCAAAATTTAAAGTATGAATGCACACATATACGTGCTGTGGTTTAACCCAGCAGCAGCTAAACATCACAGAGACTTTCACTCACCTCCCCCCTCTCCACCTCACTGCAATAGGTGGAAGAGGATCAGAAGAAAAAAAAAATTAGAACTTGTGGATTGAGGTAAAAACTATTTACTAAGGCAGAAAAGAAAAATAAAAATAATAGTAATTATAATAATATACACACATACATATACAAAAGAAGTGACAGACAAGCAATTGCTCACCACCCTCTGACCAATGCTTATCCAGTCTCCAAGCAGCAGCAGCTCCCCTAGCCAATTCCCCACCATTTTTTATGTTGGTTTTTTTGTTTTGTTTTTTGTTTTTTGTTTTTTTTATTTTGGTATGATGTCTTATGGTACAGAATTTACCTTTGAACAGTTTAGGTCAGCTGTCCTGGTTCTGTACCCTCTCAGCTCCTTGTGCCCTCCCAGACACCCCTGCTGGCAGGACAGTAAAAGAAGCCAAAAACCTGAAACGTCCTTTGCTCATACAGCAGTGCTCAGCAACAACTAGACACCAATGCATTATCAACATTGTTCTTCTCCTAAAGCCAAAACATAGCACCATAGCAGACACTTTGAAGAAAAAAATCAGTTCTGTTCCAGCTGAAACCAGGATAATATACATGCATATATTTTGCCATCCTAGAAGATGAAAGCCATCCTAAATAAGATAATGAGATAATACACAGAATAAGTCAGACAATCTGCTCAGACATACCACATCCTCTGGGAGTGTTCTTGACTTATAGTGACATCCACAGTAATTAAATGTTTCCTTGAATAGCCAGGACTTTCATTTGTCAGGAAGTTTAAAATCAGCACTTCTGGCCATAACTTAACATGTTACATTTTTTTCCTTTCACTTCTAAGTAAGTCCAACTTATTTGATGAGATACTTACTTGGCAGAATGACCTGCCCTACAAAGCATGAAATAAACTTAACTAGGACGAAACTTTCCTATTGATAAGCTTAACTAGGATGGAACTCTCCTACTGTCTCGTTATGCCAGCCTAGTTTGCAAGCCATGGAATTTCAGCATCACTTCAAATATTACTAAGGAAGCATCTATCAAATGCCTGGCAAATGAAAGTTCAGTGATAGAACTGACAAAGCCAGGAACCAAGCCTATTTCTTTTCATCTCTAGTCTCAGCTGAAGTGACATCAGCTCACCACGTGTAAGAGCACAATCACCATAGAAACAGCAGTTAAAAACAGGAGGGGAAAATCTCTCTGCTGTTTTCAAAGAGAATATATAACATCTTACTGGTTATCCACCTGTGCTTTTCAGAAGACATAATTTCAATTTATTTATTTATTTATTTATTTATTTTTTTTTTTGTGTAGCCAAGTGAAAAATTACACTAATATTTCAGAGGGGGACAATTCAAACAGTTATTTTAAAAATGACTCTGTGGTTTATTTGCTGACCTTCACACAAGATACTTAATAAAGTAGTATCAATGTGTTACAGCATGTATACTGAACACATACTATCTATTCAAACTTCCACTGATACTCCTGCAAGAAATGACTCAGTTACAAGCAGTTCCACAATACAGACTTGTATTGCAGCATTAGGAAGAAACAGAATGTTACTGGGCAGAATATTTTTCCTTTGGATTGTAAAGCTGAACACAAAGACAGGTTTTTGCCATTTAACACTGAATACAGGATAAAATTCTTGATCCCTTCTGATCAAAACTGACCATGCAATGCTACTTGATGCATTTCACTACAGCTGCTCCAGGGAGGTCCTAAGGCAAATCAGTTTATTGTGGAAGTGGCACCGTTGTTAGCTTTGCGCATCCGAGGTGAACTGAAGGGACGTCTGCATTTGTCACTTGGTTTTGAGGTGCAGACTGTCTCACTTTGCTGAACCTCTGAGTCTTGAGCTGGTGATGTTTCCAGGTGCCCTTGCATCAGAATTAGAGGCTGATTATGCTCTGTGATTTCCTTGTCTTCATACAAAGGTAACTTTTAATATATGGCTTAGTATTGCTTGTTCTCAATGACAAGTACCCAACCAGTTTTTAGGGCAGCTTCTCAGCAGGTCACATTCTGGCTTTGTTGTTTTGGATTGTCACTAGTAATGACAGTTAGAAATTATCATCTTGACAAGAATTTTCTCTAGCTCCCTTTCATTTGCTACTGTAAACCATTTCTCCTGACAGTCTAAAATATAGATTCTGATAACCTGCTCTTACATAATAACAGAACTGCAGAAGTCAGTTTTCCCAACACGTTCTTTTGGCTTTGTAGGATTTTCCAACAATTCCTCATTGTCCTGTATCATTTGTAGTCCTGAGAGAATCTCTGTCCTGACTTCACCTTCACCTTTATAGACAAACAACCTCTGACAAGCGAAGCAAGAGAAGGTACAGCCAGAAGGCTGCTAACAGAGATCTTATGCCAATGTCAGTAACCAGCAATGCAAAGAAGTATTTTTAGTCCTTACACGGAGACAGGCAGAACACAAATATTTTTAGTGCATTCTGAAAGTCAGGAATGATTCTTAGGACAGTACTTACTGCAAAAAATTATATTAACTCTATTTAGCAAAAGTGGATTATGGTATCAGGGAAGATAAACAAATTGGATTTGAATTAATCAGTTGACTACTGTCAAGGTAGGCTTCCCTGGTTTAATGTGTTGCAACTGTGAATCCAAGTTTTAAAAAAAAAATAACCTCCTTTTGGTACTAACAGAGTTTAACAGAGACAAAATCAGATCTTTTTTCTTCCTTGCCTTCAGCATACACATACCTTAGATGTTAAAAGGCATCTTTCCTGAAGGATGTCATTCTGGGAAAAGAGCTACTTTATGCCACAAGAACATGCATTTCTATGTATGCATGTCTACAGAGAATAGTTCTGGGTAAAAATGCAGAAAGAGGGTAAAAATTAAACATCCTTTTTTTTCCTATTTGGCCATTTCTCCAACCAAAGAAATAACCTAGGAAACAAAAGGCACAATGTATTTTTCCTCAATATTTACTTTGCTTCATGTGATCATGTGATTATTTAGTTTCTCTTTGCACCCCATTCAGCAGACACTGGAAACGCCTACAAATTAATTCCAGGGTTGTGGAATATCTGAAAAACAAGCAAACAGAATAGGATTGGTGTATGGGAACTGCTGAGTCACGGCCTGAACCTCTGATTAATCACCTGAGGTGAGCCTTGAGTCAGCCAGAGGAGCTCAGGTGAAGGCAATTCACCTGTGCTGCCGGAAGGGGTGGAGCCAGGCTGCACCCCTCCTGGACCTATTTAAGAGCTGGCTACCAGAGGGGAAGGATCTCTTCTGGAGATCCTCCTCTTTTGGTATCTTCTAGTGAGCTCAACCCAAGGGTAAGCTCTTCTACTTATTCTCTTTTGCGATCCTTGTTTGCTTTTGCCTTACTCTTTTGATTATATTGCAATTATAACATCTTGGTTATACAATTGGGCTGCCATGCACTCCAGGGGTCAATACAGGATCCAGTCCTATTCAACTTATTCATAAATATTCTGGATGATAGGCCTAGACTGCTGGTGATATAAAGTGGGGAAGAGTATCTGGTACACCAGATGGTCACACTGCCATACAGAGGGACTGGACTGACTGACAGAAACTTAGTGATGTGCAAGAAATGAAAGTATGGACTCTGCACCTGGGAAGAAGTAACCTTATGCACGTGCATACATTGAGGATTGCCCAGCTGAAATTTGCAGAAAAGGTCCTCGTGAACACCAAGCTGAGCACCGGTATTTTCCAACACGATCTTCCCAAGAAAGTGACACTCAGATTGAAAATACAATTTGTCAGAAGTTTGTCCTGGTAGCTGTTTTGAACAACCTGGATTTATCCCCTGCCCCACTGATCAGTTTTGCCTCTGCACAACCCTGCGATGATGCTGGCAGAACTCCCTGTGACACATAAGAAAACCGAATAGCATAAGGGAACAGATACAAGTAAAAATAACCCAGAAAAACAAATGTTATTTTGAACTTAGTTCACTTCCTCCATCTAGTTTATTTTATAGCTCCGTAACAGCTGAAGGGATCAGTAGAAGAATCTGAATAAACAGGGACCAACAAAGAGGATTGTTTTAATTCTGTCGCATCCTTCCCTGACTACTAACACCTGCTGTAAATATGGATTTCTACCAAGCAGAATTTAAACAAAGGACATAAGTATATCATCATCACCATATAGCAAAAGCTATTCACTATAAACCTGAGCTTATAACAAGAAAATTGAAAGGCAAATACTCCAAGATTGCAGTAGTAATTACCACTGTCATGGGAGCCTTTAAAAATCTCTTGCATAAGCAAGCAAACGATCACACAAAAATACTTTACAGCAATGACAGAATGAACATGACACTGAAGCATTCTTCTGATTTTAGTCTTCAGCCAGATTCATGCTAAAACAAAACATTATTACTTCAGCTGAAGTATACAATGTAGCTCAGCTTGAAAAGTAAATAGTTAGCAATAGCTGAAACAAAAAAAAGCTTGCTGTGCACATTTAGATTCTTTTCTACTTCATGTAAAGTATTTGAGTTGTTACACTTCTAATGGCAAGAAGTGTTTATACTGTTGGTTTCAGCCCATACCTGAAGCTAACCATGTGTTAGGTCACACACTGCTTTTATTCAGTTACTTATGCAAGGCCTGATGAATTAAATGTGTTTGCTACTCTGTACCACCTCAAAACAGGAGTCTCCCATTTCACAAGTGACAGCACTCGCATAGGTAAACTGCATGAGGGGAGAACACTTTTCCACTTCTGGGGCTGTAGCTGCCTATTCAGTCACAATCCCACCCTGCAGAAGTATCTGAACCACAAACATGTATTTGTCTGGGAAGGACCTCCAACGCAGGCCAGAAGGAGGACTCTGCCCTCCAGCATGGCATAATCAGTGTGCGTTGTTTTGAACTGCTCCTGAATGGGCCTGCCCACAAATTAATGCTGGCCTTCTCACCACATGACTGACCTGTTCTTAAAGCAACTCAAACAACAGCGGCTCTTCTCGAGTCAGTTCTTAAAGCCACCATTTCACAGAGGGCAGCAACAATTGCAGTGATTGTTTGCCATCACTTCTCTTTTCTTGACTTTGTTGTAAAGACATTTAAATGCGAACAACTCTTCAGGCATTACCTTCATATCTATTTCTGTACCGTGGATCTGCTGAGCTACTGTTTTGATGATTCCAATGACAATATCCTGCAGACCTTCCCTCTCTGAATAGTAATGCAGAATGAGTCCTTTCCCCTTCTCCGCATCAGTGCATCTGAAGGAAGGGGCTCGCATACCTGGGTAAATAGTAGCAAGATGGTCATGCAGAGCATCCAGGTTCTAGAAGAAGAAATTTAAAACATGATTATAAGACATTCACTTGTTAGCTTGGAACAAAAAAAAAATTAAAAAAAAAAAACATTTCTTGCCTAATCTGACTCCACCCCTTCTTGTTGGTCACACTCCCTTTGGACTTGTTTTACTACTTCTAAAGCAGCCCCCAGCAGGCTTTTCAGAGCTCGAGGTGTTCTTTCCCCCTGCTGTGCAAACATTTGGACATGAACAGCAGGAAAGCTAGCACTATAAAGAATTACTCTAAGTAGTAAGAATCCATGCATTTCAAAACTACGGTGATTAAAGACTGTATGGGCTTCTCAAATCCAAAGCCCATTCATTTGCATTCTTTCCAAATTCAAGCCCCTGTAATTTCTTTGAATTTAGGCATCAAACATAAATAAGCATGTTTTCATAAAATCTTTCCCCTGTTGACAGTGAAACAACAGGCTACTTCTATCATCGTAACAGTCAGACCAAGTTGACAGGGCCTGATCTCAAACACAGACTGAGAATAAGGAGAAAAAACCACCAACAGGACTCATAGAACATGGCTACTGTAAAAATGTTTCAGGAAATATTTGTTTAGAAAGGGAAAAAAGGTCTTTTATATTTTCAACTGATGTCTTGGACGTCTTATGTATTTTACTTCAAATTTTAACAAGACAAATTGACATCTGGAGAGGAAAAAAAAAAACTGAAATTGAGAGGCATATCTAACGAGGATAATAAAGAGAACAAAGAGATCAGAACCATGCTAAGAATATAGAGACAGCTCTGACTTTGTTTAGGAAGCAATTACCATGGCTCCAGCTTGCTGCTTGCTGTATAGAGTTCAATACACAGAAAGCAATCTGTTTTGCTAAACAATGTTGCAACTCAAACAACTATTTATCTGTTGTAAAACATATACACATCCTTTACATCCTAAGCCCAGATCATTACTGTATATTTCAAACGCAGTTCTCCCAACCCCCCCCACAACTGCTACCACCAGATCCTGAATATTTTCATCTAGCACAATGGAAAGTGAAGTGAAAATATTTTCAATGTGCTGGCTGGCCCATTTTCCACCTTTCCTGAGCATCTGTCAATCATCAGATCCATGGAACTATACTGAACTTTGTTTCATGTGAGCTGTGAAGCACTTAAACAGCTGGTTCTTCTCCTGGAAGGTCTCCAGAGGAAATGAGGCTCTTAGAAATGAATTCTGTAGGATGTACCCAGACTGAAGCTTCCTCCTTCAGTTTTTTAGTTTGTTTCAAACTCATGTTTTTGTTGCTATATCAACACCTCCAAACTAAAACTTGGAGAGGCAACAGCAAGGGAGGCAATTTATTCCAGCTGTTAATGAGCATTCAGTTGCAAAAAGAAGAAAAATGTTTGAAGGCAAATTCTGTAAGATCATTACCAGGGTTCAAGACAAGTAAGTTGGAAGAGAGCTTGTGAGATGTGGATGAGAAAAGAGCAAGAACTCCAAGGAAGTGCCCCTGAATCTCCTTAACTGCATTAAGAACTGTGTTTTTGGTACACAAGCTAAAGGATCAGCTGAGAATTATTTTGGAAACAAGACCCTTAAGGAGATGGAAATAGGAAATATGGAAATATCATGGAAATAGAGGGTAAACTATCAAGTTCTACAGTCATCAACATAATTCCAGAAGAAGTTAAGCACAGAATTTTTTTGTATGGCTGTCTCATTATAAATATTTAAGTCTGGCGCAAGCATTGCTACAAATGATGGTAGCCACACTGTGAATGATCACTTTGCCACCCTACTACCTCATTACTGACTTTGTCCAAGAAACATCAAAGCTGAATGCCCTGCATGTGGCAGGGGGTTGGAGATTCATGATCCTGGAGGTCCCTTCCAACCATGGCTATTCTGTGATTCTGTGAATCCATGCAATTTGCTCTTTAGTCTTGAACCACCAATCATCTAGAGCTGGGGACCTGTCCAGAATGTACTGCAGCACTTTTGAAGTATCCACTGCATCTTTTCTCCCCCATGCATATGACTATGGAGGGAGCAAAGTACTTATTATATGCAGTCAAGAAGAAGTAGAGATGTGCATCCAGATGCAGGCACCAACACTGCTCCAACATCCTGCCATTTAGACATTGTATCATTATCACTTCCAACAGCAACCCTATCTTTGCTCCCAGATTACTCAGATGAATGCCAGAGCTTGTGCTGGTACCAGAGACACTAATTCTAGAGCTTGTTAAAAGATGAAAGGATCTCCAAGCAGGAAGGAGCATGGACAGTAATAATAAATCAGGCAGATCCTAGACAGTCTTAAGGAGTTATGACTGGCACCTGAAATATAAAGACTCACTGTTCAGCTCTGTGCTGCACAGAGCATACGGAAACTACTGTATGAGAGGAATTAATCCACTTAAATTTACAGCACTGAAATGAGAAGCAAATAAATAGCCACGTAGATGATCTCCTACACGAGACAGGACTAATCTCCACTCCAGTGTTTGATTTCCTTTCTGTAGAAAGCTACTGAACGTAACAAAAACACACTTGGAGTTGCTCAGGAGGCTTCATCTTTTCACGTTGTTCCTCCTCAGCACAGTGTCTTCTTTCAATATGATTTGCAATTTTTCCAGCCCTATGTTTTTCTAGAAAGTATAAATATTGGATTTGGTTGTGCTGTCTTCTTCCTCTTTCTTAAAGCCTGAAGTATCTGTGTTTCATTTACGAATAAACTAAATTATCTCTGAAATGTCAAGGAAAATAGAACATAAACATGAGATTTATTTTCACACACTTAAAAAACCTGCAGCCCTCTATAATTTTCACACATTCCTGGGCTTAATGCAGGTTTCAAGAAGATGATGTTTTTGGAATCATACCATATATTTTAAGAATCTGACAAAAAGTCAGCACATCAAACTCAATCTGCACCTATTTTAGTAAGTATATAAATAAGCTTCCTGACCTAATCTGTTAGAAGCTGCAAAAACAATAAATCATGGATAATGTTGATTTTCCATCATAATTAAAAGCTGAAAAGTACACTGCTGGCACAATTACTAATACCTGCCTTGTTAGAATTTACAGGGGTACGTAATAACTAACGTCATCTTCTAGCACTGAAATGCAAACAAAACAGCCTAAAATACTTCAATTAGAAGAACATAAATGTATGCAGTTCACACTTTTACAGGGGTTTGGTATGTGCTACAAATGTGTCCATCATTATTCATGTTAGGGAACAGAAAGATGAGGATACTGGATGGAAAAGGTGATGAGAGAAAGGAAGAGGAAAGGACCAATGAAGCGTACTCAAAGTGATGGGGGAATTGGATGGCTGTATCTTTTTTTCCTGTCTTCTATTCTTGCTCAACCCCAACCATAACTTCAGTACATCTTTAAAAACTACATTGATCCATACGCATCCTTTGAGCGCAGCCTATGGATGGAGCTATAAGGTACTACGGATGCCCAATCCCACACAGACAGTGGTATACAGACCACACATTTGGAATGCATCAGATGGAGCACACACATAACTTGTCTTTTGGCCCAGCAGTTACAGATCGTGGGATCTTTAAAAAGTCTGAGTTGAGAACACCCAGGAAGCTCTGCAGTGTTACAGGTTTCAGAGCAAGTAGTGAGATGCACAAGGAAATACCCCCAAAATACAGCAAAGTAGGTACTTTGCCCCTTCACATTCTATTACTGGAGAGAATTTCAAGGGAAAAGATGACAAAATGCTGCTAAATTTCCAGTGAAAATCAATAGAGGTTTGACACAGCTATTTGGCAATCTCCTGTGAAATCTTCATCAGTTCAGTGTTTTTAAACTCATTGCAGCACACAGTTCACCCCTGAAGTGATCTATGTCACAAACACAAAACTGTATTTGAAGCAAACAATCTTCAAGTGACAAAAAACAGAAGCCCATCTTTGCTACACTTGGAAATCACACTTCAGAGAGGCCATTACACTTTTTTCCACGCTACTGAAAAATTACTTCCAGTTTGTTGTGGTTTACAGCACAATGTCACAATGTTCTGAAGTTAGGAAAGCACAAAAAAAGGATAGCTGCTCTATCCCACCCTCAGTTCATGTACAAAACAATTTCCTGTCTTAGAAACAAGCTGTGTGAGCCCTAGCTCTGTACATAACGTACAATTATAAATAACATCTATAATTAGTCAGAGAGAACTCTGGATGAGAAATATCCTACAGGTCTGAAGACCACATTTTCTGTTAATCTAAACAACATAAAGCCCTTTTAATTATGATGTACAGGCAGCCTGGTATTTTTCCATGTCTCTGACACTCCATGCTACCTAAGAAAACTCCTGTTTTAACTTTTTCTTTATAACTTCAAATTAAATTTCAGATGTATGAACTGTGAATGCCAGCTTACCTGCCTTCTCAACTCACTGCTCATGAAATCAAACAAAGAGGATTGTTCAAAGGGAAAAATGGTGCTTTAACAGGTAGATGAGTATATTAACCAAGAGGGATACAGAACAGCAATGCCAAAACTGCTAGGCAGAGGAAAGCTCTACAGAATGCAAAAACCAAGGCATATATCCTTCATACCTCTACACAAATAAAGCTACACAGTACAACTTCTATTTCTACATTCCATTCTAGCCTGTTGGCTAGACCATACTCCTGTCTAGTCCCCTGTATCTGGAATAGTTTGGCATAAAAATCTTACCTGCAAAAATTCTCTAACATTTGAGCCCAGAACACGCAGAATTGTATCATAGCCAGATTCTTGACAAAACACAAAAAACATCTTCCCAAACATCTGAAGAATTTCCCCAGCATTCAGATCTAGTAAAAACAGGAAAACGTGTTTTAGTTCACACATTAACAATACCTAGACTGCACCCAGATCCAGAAGGCCAAGAATATGAGGACAAGAGTCAAAGTGCATAAAAAAGCAATGCATATTCAGTACATATTTAGGAATTTCAGGAGGATTTACAGATTCCCTTTATGCATTTTGTCTACGTGTAGCAGTTTAGATTTTGATACAGACAAGGAAACACTACTTGCAATAACTCAGCAACACCTGACTCTGGGGGGTTACTTCTGGCTTGCAACAGCATGAAACTACACCAGCTGCATCAATTCAACATGACAACTAGCTTGGGTCTGCAGATAAAAGAAAGCTGATGGGCATAATTATACCTTTTAAACCGCAGGACGACTGAAAATGAATGCTACCCAAATAAACAGCAGATATGAAATAAGACGTGTCACAAATCATTCTGTAACTCAGCATCTTTGATCAGCAGAGGTCAGAAGGAGAGAAGGACACAGAAGGCCACGGACTGCCATCACAGCAGCGGTTGAAATCCGGGTGTATTAGCAAGGTCGTTACAGTGATACATTGTTACTTCACGACCATTTTGTAACACTGATGCTTTGTGGATTAGATACATTACTACAACTTAAGGCGGATCCAGGACTTAGAATACCACTTGGAAGTAACACAAATCACTTAAAGGAATAAAAATATTTGAGGTAAATAAGTAACAATAAAATCCATTCTTCTGCTGTTGTTCTTAATCTCCGACCATTATTACGTGTTCTCATCCTCTGTGCTAAGTCCTGTTCCTCTCTGCAATGTGGACCTTCCTGTTGGTGGTAGTTTTCAATCTTACACGTAAGGACTGGTCAAAGAAGATATCCGTATTACTTACTAAGAACCTTGCTTGCAGCTGCAACCAGATCATAGGTCTTGGAATCATCATATATTATTCTGACGAGAAACTGTCCTTCTTCATCCAGCTGTGCCTCCTTCCTATAAAGGAAACAAATTATTTTTGGTTGAGGGAGAAACACCAAATCTGTAAACTGGATATACATTGTTTGGTTCTACTCTTCTAAATCATGCAAGTCTGCAAGTTATACACTTAGGAAGTTATGTAATAAAGCTAAAATTATAACTGTCTCACACCTCAGGGTAATTAAGATACAACACCACTATCTTAAGAGCATCTGTGCTATGAAAATAATAATTAGCTGGAAGAAAATAAACATAACTTTTTGGTACAGGGCTTCCCAACAAAGTTGTAGAACTAATAAAGATAAAGGTGTATTTTAAAAAGGGAAATATTTAGGAAGAGAAAAGCAATCAAAAAAAGATAGGATTTTGTAACAAAAGCAGGCATGCCGCACAAATCGAGATACTCATCAACTCACCACTGAAATAATTACTTCTCTAATCAGCAAATGAATCACGAGGAAAACTTATTTACTACTACCATGATAATGAAGGGCTCTTATCACAGTAAGACAGAAATGCTTCTCAAGATAGAATTGAAACGTACTGCTCAAGAGCCAATATTCTAACTGCTTTAAACTCGTAACAATCCTCAGAAGAATTTTAAACCCTTAAAAAGCAGATTCTGAACCTACCATCTAAAATCCTACAACATCTTTTACAACAAAACCTTTGTCTCTACCACCACACAACCAGTCACCAATCAGAACAAAATTCCTTAATTGATATTTAGCTCCTAGTGGTATAGAGCCAACATTGCCTACTTCACAAATGAAATCATGCAAACAAATAACGTCCACACAACAGTTCAAGTATACTATTTTACTGGAGTTACCCATCCATACAAACACAGAAACATTCTGAGCATTACTCAACAGAGAAAAGACTGAGGATGATGTATTCTGGTTCGTGTTAAAACTGATAGATGACAAAACTGTTGGTAGGGCCTGATTCCAATTTCATATGATGTTATTCTACTGATCTGAATGAAATTAATGGTCATGTAACCCTCCAGTTAATAATCATGCCTTCCACAATCTGTCCACTATCAATGGAAGTCAAGAACACATCATTTTCAAATTATTTCTTCCTCTTTCTCTTGCTTTAACCATGCCCACTGCATTTTTACCACCGACCAAAAATTAGTATTAGATTGGTTTTGTATTTAAAATATCTATCTACTTCGTTATTACTAGTGTATGAACGGGCATAGTGAGCTGAAAACAAGTGAAGCAACTTTCCCAAAGCAGCAAGACGAGGCTGCAGCCTGTAGCTGAGACTAAAATTCCTACAGAATGGATGTAAAAGGAACAACTTCTGTTATTAATGGCATGAAAAATTATTAATAATCTCAAGATGTTTTTCTCTGAATCTCACGGGGAGATTCACAAAAAGAACAAACGAACTGGCACGAAAAAGACAAAGCATGGTATTATTTTTAATGAATAATTATTGCAATGATTTATTCCTTGTATCAATAAACAGTGCATTAATAAAAAAGCAAGAAAAATGGTTTGTATACACACACTCCCCTATGACTCTTATTTTCATATTTCATTCTTCTGATCCTCTCCTCCAGCCATTCTCTGACAACTTTAAATTAACCTGCAGGCTATCAAGTCCCACTGGTTCCTGAAAACAGCTGATACGACATGGATTCCATCTTTCACTAAGAGGGAGAGACTCAGGCTATTAGCAGGTAACGCTGCCCTGAAGCATATGATATCAGTCAGGAACGAGACAGTAAAGTTCACATTTGCTAACAGCTGAACTGAAATAGTAGAAGAAAAGAAAATCATCTTGGTTCTTTGATTCTCATAGCATGGAATGCAACTGGAAATCAAATGCAGTTTAGGGAGAAGTTTGCACAAGGGTGAGCAAACTTTCCCACGTCCCGGATGCACACTATGCCTTCTCTTAGTCCCTCTGTTCCCAGCCAAACCACAAAGGATAACATAGACATCTGAAAAAGCAATGAACATCCTCTAAAGTACTGCATACTTGTAAAAGCCACGGGATGCAGTTTTTCTGTGTGAGAAATTTCTTCATTGAAAATTGAACCAGTTTGATCACTCTTGTACCTCCTCCAAAACGCTTCCATCTCCTTTTGGTTACATTGGTTGGAACATTTCCTGTCTCTTTCTCTGTGCCAAGCCACAATTCCTATTTTACTGTAGTTATTAGGGGGAAAAACTCTGAACTGCCCTGCAGGATCTTCTTGAAACTCCTTAGAGGAGGTAACATTGCCAATCCCCCATCCAAAACCTTCTCATGTCCCTCTAGGAAGCAGTGGGGAAATACAGAGGTTTGAGGAGGGGCCCCTCTGGAAAGGTTATGTGTCAGAAAGCCCAGCCGAAGTGCCTTTATACTAATGCATGCAGCATGGGAAATAAGCAGGGGGAGTTGGAAACCGTGACAGACTTGGAAAACTATGATCTGGTTGCTATCATGGAAAGGTGGTGGGATGAATCTCAAGACTGGCATACTGTGATTGAGGGCTACAGGCTCTTCAGAAGGGACAGACAGGGCAGGAGGGGAGGGGGAGTTGCCCTCTATGTTAGGAAGAGGATAAATTGCAAAGAGCTGTGTCTGAGTAACACTCATGACCAAGGTGAGAGCTTATGGATGAAAATCGGGGATCAGTCCAGTAAGGGGCATCTAGTGGTTGGGGTCAGCTACAGGCCAGCTGATCCTGTTGATGAGGTGGGCAACTGGCACAGCTGAGCAAGGGCCTGCAGCTTAAACTGAGGGAAAAGAGGGAAATGGACAGGAAGTGGAAGCAGGGCTGCGTAGCCTGGGAAGAATCTAGGGATGTTGTCTGCATACGTAGAGATAAGGTGAGGAAAGCCAAGGTGCAGATGGAGCAGAACTTGGTGAGGGATGTGAAAAATAACAAGACGGGGTTCTTCAAGTACGTAGGCATGAGGAGACAGATCAAGGAGAGTGCTGCCCCTCTGATAAATGAGGATGGAGAACTGGCTTCCTCAGACATGGAAAAAGTTGAGGTACTCAATGAGTACTCAACGATTTGCCTCAATCTTCACTACCAGGCTTCCTGTGTCTGCCAGGACCCCTAGGTGAGGGTGTGAGGAGTGGTTTCTGTCCTACTGTAACAGTGGAACAAGTCCAACACCTCCTCATGAAACTGAATTACTTGAAGGGAGTGTATATCCAGGAGGGTAGTCCTTTTCAACCCAGGCCATTCTATCATTCTATTTTCAGTGTATTTTGTCAAAGTTTGTCTTCAATTCCTGTAGTTTCCCTAGGCTACCATATTTCAGAGGCACCACTGTTTATTTCAAGCCCTATCCCATTCAGACTATTTCAACTACTCTGTTTTTTTCTAGACGCCTCGCTTCAGCCAGCAGCCATCTTCTCAACAGCCTTAACGATGCATTTCCCATTCCTCTTTCAGGAATCTTATTTCTAGAGAACGTGACAAATTAAGTACTCATTCCAGCAGGGGACTACTCCCCTCAAAACTGCAGGGACAAAGAAAAGACAACACCTCAGTTTGTCCCGCAATTAAGTGAGAATGCACGATGTAAACCTGTCAAAGGACAAAAAGCTTTTTCTAAAAATAAAAATAATACTAGTATCAACAGCTTTTTACCTTCCCACAGTGACTTCTCCATACTTCCCAGCCTTGCTGTGCCAGTACATGCCAATCATTTAGCTAGACGATGAGATGATGTTCAATTCACCTAAATACTTGTTTTATTAGGTTGTTGGGTATTTTTTTGCTAGATGGATTACCACGTCTGCTCCCTCACCGGTTCACAAAAACTGCTGTGCATCTACAACAGGCACTTCAGTGACATCAGCTGAAGCCTTGTCTCCTGTCACCAGTGCAGTCAACTGAATTTCTGAAGCCTTTCTCCTTCCCTTGGCAATCTGACAGTCACAAGAACTTCATGAAGTTTTTCTCTAGAATTATCTGATTATCCTTAAGGCTCCAGATGATCAAGAAACGCTGCTGTACATTTATCACCAATGGCCAATGCAACATGACAGCACTCATTTTTACAGAGGCATTTGTTCTTCAGCAAATTTGCAGATCCTTTAATAACCCTGCTAGGCAGCAGAGCATCACAGGTATCAGCACCAGAGAGGGTAAACATAGCATGAATGCTAGCAGTCTAGGAAACAGGACAAAGCCATTCAAACATTCATTCAGGTGACTGGGCAACTACCAGATGGTTTCCCCACGACTGCAGTTTTCTCACCCAATTGCCTGAGTCCTACCTGGTCTATCAGGCCAGTCTGCATTCACACCAAGGAGCTGCTTCTAAGGCAAGAGTGATATGAAGAAATACGATCACAAAGCTGACAGTATGTTATCATGGTTAAGTCACTGTTGCTGGCTGTCCATCAACTATCGCTCCTCCAGTGAGATACAGCTCTTTTTACTTCACAGCCCATGAGTATCATGTATGATAACAAACCTGCCTGTGTGGAACAAGGTCTGTGTGTGAACCTGAAAATACCAGGAGGCTGCAACTGCTCTCATCTGAACAGCTCTTCTCCTGGCTGACAAGTGGTTCACAAGCAGGGATTAGAACAGGAATATGAAATGGCCTCCTTCAAGGTACAGAATTCACATTTGCCTGGCTGTATTTCACAGAAAACTTCATAATCCACGTCCTTATGAAAAATCGTGGCACCTCCCTTGAAACATTTTGCTGCAGTATTTACTCTCAGCTGTTTCTGTGTTTTTACCAGACGATCTCTGCGGACTGTTGGGTTTGATCACAGAAGTATTAGCAGCAATAACGTGGTAAATTTCTTATGGGCTTGACTGGAAATGAGCCAAAAGCAACAAGTCCTGGCTAATTCCCAATTCCTGCTCTTACTAATTCTTTAACCAGTCAGCAGGACGACAGCAGCAAGCTTTTAACTTTCATACGTCCTTTCTTTCAAAATAATTTCTATGTGAAGTAGAACATGATTTACAATTAATGTCTCATTTCCATTTCTGGAGGCAAAAGAAGAGTGTGCTTTGCTCAAAAACAGAAGAA